GGCGTGTGGCTTTACCATGAGAACTCAGTTGAGAAGGGAAGGATCTGGAAAAACCCTTTGCCAGGCCCATGTGTTCTCAGGCCCAGCTCGAAAAGCCGCGGGAACCTCTAGCTTTTTTCTAGGCACCCCAGATGGCAGCGGACGCCAGATCTCCCAATGGTAAGTGGAGGAAGGGACCTCGGCTGCGCCCCCAGGTGGAGACAGAGCCATGCATCAAAGCAGGACTGCCCGGAGCCTGGGTCTGCCGGCACAGCCGACAGCTCGCTTGGACGAGCCAGGCCACTTCCCCGTGCCTGGGCCTCCCGGCTGGCCCACAGGCGTTTGCCTCACAAGCCCTACACCCAGCACCTGCCCAACCTGGCCATGGTCACGCAGGGGGCTAACCCCCTGGTCGCGCTACCCCCAGGGCGACTTAGAAAAAGACCAGCTCCTGCTTCCCAGAAAACTGCTGAGGCATAAAATAAGACTGGTGTGGTCCAGGGGGCCCAGGAAGAGCCCTCCCAGCCAGGAGGCACCAGAGCCCTCAAGGACACAGGCATCGTCACCAGAACACATACTGGGGCGGACGGGGCACAGGGCCACATCACTGGGACACCAGCGGGGGGGTGGGGACAGAGCACAGGGCAGCCATATGGGACACCAGCGGGGGTGGTGGGGGACGGGGCACAGGGCTGTCATCAGGGACACCAGCGGGGGAGCAGACAGGGCATAGGGCGTTGTCACCTGGACACAAACCTGGGGGCGGAAGGGGCACAGGGTGCTGTCACTGGGGGACCACACTGGGAGGATGGGCACAGGGCGCCCATCTCCAGGTACGTGGCGATACGAGTGCCACAGCCAAACAATGCAACGTTGTACAGAACAAAGCAACAGGCAGAAACGCAAAACACCAGCGGAGAACAGAGGGCCGACCACAGCAAGCCAGACCACTGTGAGCGCCATGGTTGTCACTTCCAGGACTGAGCTGAGTGGGATGCTGCAGGGATGGCTGCAGGCATCTACAGAGAGGTGCGATGGGGTGGGTGGGCTGGGCAACAGCGCTGGCGGCAGCATAGCCCTGAGGACGTTGCAGCCACTGTAGAGGAGAGTGCCAGGAACCCCAGGAGCATGTGAGCAGGTGTCACAGAGGACAGAGACGGAGACAGAGACGGAGAGGAATGCGGGCGGGCGATGGTGAAAGCTGGCCAGGGGAAGTCTCCAGAAGCTGCAGGCCCCCATGGCTCCTGCGTCCAGCCCCTTTACTCACCCTGGCGTTCAAGTGGTGCTTTTACCTTGCGTCAGCGGCCTGCTGGCTTCGCCTGAGCCAGCACCACCCGCCGCCCCCCGCGGGTTTGGCCAAGTCCTCCCTCCTGCCGGGGCGACACGGATGCCTGAGGGTGCTGCTCTGGCTCAGGGGGGCTGGTGGTCCGTCTTAGAAGGGAGGCAAAAGCCTGGAGACGTGGGCTGTAAGATGGCTTAGGTAAGGACTTGCTTGTGGTGTTTCAGTTTTGTGCTGAGAACTGGAACAGGGCAGGGGCTGGGGAGGGCCTGTAGTAGAAAAAACATGTACAGACAGCTGGATCCAGGGCTCCGCGCCATTACCCGAGGCTGCCCCTCTGCCATCCCCAGCAGCTTGCCCCAATGCGCCCACCCTCCAGACAGAGTCCCACCATCACCCCAGGCCACCCTCCACCTCCCACCATCACCCCAGGCCACGCTCCACCTCCCACCATCACCCCAGGCCACCCTCCACCTCCCACCACCACCCCAGGCCACCCCTCCGCCTCCCACCATCACCCCAGGCCACCCCTCCGCCTCCCACCATCACCCCAGGCCACGCTCCACCTCCCACCATCACCCCAGGCCACCCTCCACCTCCCACCATCACCCCAGGCCACCCTCCACCTCCCACCATCACCCCAGGCCACCCTCCACCTCCTACCATCACCCCAGGCCACCCCTCCGCCTCCCACCATCACCCCAGGCCACCCTCTACCTCCCACCATCACCCCAGGCCACCCCTCCGCCTTCCCAACCATCACCCCAGGCCACCCCTCTGCCTCCCCGACCATTGCGCCAGGCCACCCCTCTGCCTCCCTGCAGTTTGCTTCCAATGCCCAGCCTCTGGCAGCAGGATGGACCACCCTGGCAAGGGACGGGCCACAGACACCTGTTTCTGGCATGAGCATATGCGGTGGCTGATTCTACTCTCTCGTGAAATCCAGTGTTGGCTGAGATTAAAACATCTGCCCCCGAAACACATCACACACCCAGGCTGGAAGCACCTGAGGCTTTGTCAGAGCCTGGGCCGGCCTGGGCTGCCAGGTTCAGTCCTATGTGACACAGTCTCTCCAGCCCGGCCAGACACACAGACACAGGGCCAGACACGAGGCCTCCGTGCCTTCCTGCTTTCCCTCGGGCACATGCCGGGAGTGAGGCTGCCAAAGCTGAGGTGGGGGCACCAGGTGCCTCCCCATCCCCGAGCCAGTGCCTCCATGTCCCCACCCCGCTCGACAACCAGGTTCCTTCCCCCCTTTCCCCCGACACCGGGCTCAGGGGTGACCAGACTGGCTTCCCCAGAGGAGCTGGGCTCCTCCCCAGCCACACGTGCCCCCCACCCCCCACCTAGGAAGCACTCCCTGGAGCCCCCCACGCTCATCCTCAGTCCCTAGGATGCCCTGGACACCCGCCAGTGCCAGGAGGAGCAGAGCGAACTCGCTCTTCTCCTGCCTGTGGCCACCCTGGAGGCTCTGGGCACCCCCTGCTGCCCAGTGCGGGGGCAGGAGGCAGTTCTGAGCAGGGGACGCCTGCACCGCCCAATACGGGGCAGCAAACAGCGTTGCCAGCCAGACCACGACAAGTGTCCTCACTCGTTAAGTGACTGTACTTGGTTGAATGGTGACCCCTAAAATTCACGTCCCCTGGGAAGCTCAGAGTGTGACCTTATCTGTAAACCATCTTGGCAGCTGTAATCATGTTAAGATGCACCCACGCTGGGTTAGGGTGGACCCTAGTCCAACGACCAGTGTCCTTAGGAGAGACAGAAGAGGAGAAGACAGACAGAGAGAAGGCCACGTGGAGACGGAGGCAGAGACTGGAGGGAGGCGGCCACAAGCCAAGAATGCTCAGAGCCGTTGGGAGCTGGAAGAGACAAGGACAGGTCCACCCCTAGTGCCCCGGAGGGTGCGCGGCCCTTCCCACGCCTCGAGGTCGGACTTCTGGCCTGCGGAACTGTGAGGGAGTGGATTTCTGCTGCGTAAGCCGCCCAGGGAGGGGGTCTTTGGAAACTGACGCAGCGCCCCCCTCTACCCATCCACGTCATCTGCCCAGGGTCCAGGCACGGGCAGGCGCGGGGCCCAGGCATGGAAGGTCAGGGCCCGGCTGGACTCAGACAAGGTGACGCTCAGCCTAGCCAGTGTGGGTCCTGCTCGCAACCTGTCCCTGCATCTGTGAAATGGGCATAGGGCCCTTGTGATCCAAGGGAGTGCGGCACCGTGAGCCCTGGAGCAGCAGCGCCACCTCACCGATGATGCCCTCGAACACAGGTAGACACCAGGTTTTCCGTAAAGACCCAGCTCCCACCATCCTGACCACAGGCACTGCCGTCCTGGCTCCTCCTCCCCATTCCCCAGAGGAGGAAACAGGCGGAGGAGGTTCAGTCCCCAGGGCCACGCAGCCAGGGAGGGGCAGCGCCCCCAAGCCCTCTGGCCTCCTGGGGTCCCTCTGGCTGGTGCATAGAGGCCACACCCCCCACGCCACTCACCTGGTGCATAGAGGCCGCACCCCCGGTCCCCACGCCACTCACCTGCCAGGCGTCGGAGCGCCAGCCTCTTCCAGCGCCGAGAGGGCCTGCCTGAGGAAGTTCCGTGCCTGCTCCTTGCTGCTGTCCCTGGAAGGAGCAAGTGACGACGCGGGACCCCTGCCAGCAGGGCTGGTGCCGGGGGGCACCGCTGATGTTTGGAAAAACTTATTCCGGGCCTGCTGGGTCCTGGAGGCAGATGGGGTCCAGGCTGGGGGGTCCACGGTGGCTGCAGACGTGGAGCTTGAACTGAGCGTGGTTTGAGGAGCTGCCACTCGGGGGGCTCCCCCGCCCTGGGGTGTGGCCAGGCGAGGGTCTGGGGCACTCAGGGGCACAGGGGGATGGGAGGCGGCCGCTGCTGTGTGCTGGGCAGCTGACGACCAGCCCATCGGGGAGCTGTTGGTCACACGAGGGCGGACTTTCCCCTCCAGGGGAGTGGGGGCCGGGCAGCTCTCAGAGGGCCTGGCTGGGCTCCTCACACGGACGGACCCGGCGCTGGTGGCTGGAGGGTTGGGTGTGGTCGGAACGGAAGCCCTGGCAGGCGAGTTGCCTGCAGCAGGCTCCCAGGCCGACGGTCTGGCCTCGGGCTTGTTCGCCTCCTGGGCCTTCTGCGGGGAACAGGGGGTCCTGGAATTCACAGCCATGGCCCCTGGCCGTTGGGGGACCAGATCGGGCAACTTGGGGCTTGCAGAGGTAGTCGCAGGGAGGTGACTGGTGCAGACGAAGGCGCCCGGCTCTCCGGTGGCCCTGTAGGCCCCCGAGTGCAGCGTGCAGGAGCACTGCTTGCACCTGAGGGAGGAAAGGCATAGGAGCCCCAGCTCAGCACCGCCCGCCCCGCCATGCATTCACCATGTGCTCCCAGAGCAGGCATTTCGGACTCCCGTGTCCACTCGCGAGGTCGCCAATTCATTCAACAAACACCTCTTCTCAGGGTCCCTAACCCCTTGAGTCACAGACCCCACCAAAATCCTTGTTTGGGGTACAGACCCCAGAGAGTGCTCACGCATGTCAGCAGACACGCACCCACAGGCCACCCCAGGCCCCGCTTCGGGGCCGACCCACCCCGGCCCCACAGACTGGGGGATGGAAATGGGGGGACTGACCCACCCCAGCCTTGCAGAGCTGGGGACAGAAGGAGGGGGAAGAGCTCGTCCTTAAGAGCCCCCATCCGGTGGCAGGGAGGGGCTGGGGATGGCCACTGAGTAAAACACCCCAGTGGGATGGGCTGAGGCACAGGAGGGAGACTGAGGCAGTGTGTGTGGAAGGACACTCGGGAGGGCATCTCGACAGGGGCACTGGAGGATACTGGGGCTTAGTGAGGGGCCTCAGGCCCTGGGTGTCTAGGAACAGCAGAACATCTTGGGCTGTCAGCAACAGAGCCCGGGGTGGGGAAGAGGGTGAGGAAGGAGAGCAGTAAGGAGAGAAGAGTGAAGAGGAAGAGGGGGGAGGAAGGGGAGGAGGAAGAAGAGGAGGAGGAGGATGCGGCTGGGTGGGAGGCAGTGGGAGCTGTGGGAGGGTTCTGGGAGGGGAGGTGCATACTCAGGCATGCGGGTGGACAGCAGCCCCACCTGAAGCAGCTGCGGTGGTAGAGTCTTCCGTCGGCCAGGTGCCGCTGTACCAGGTGCACGTGCTTACCGCAGATCCCGCAGATGCTGCTGACCGAGCTGCCCACTGACACCTGGCCCTGGGGAGGATGCCAGCACCTCTCAAAGCGGCCGTCCACCCAGCCCTCCCTCCTGGCGGCAGCCCACAGGAGGCCAGAAGAGCCCATCTTTTTTTTTTTTTTTTGAGACAGAGTCTCACTCTGTCGCCCAGGCTGGAGTGCAGTGGCGCGATCTCAGCCCACTGCAAGCTCTGCCTCCCGGGTTCCTGCCATTCTCCTGCCTCGGCCTCCCAAGTAGCTGGGACTACAGGCGCCCGCCGCCACGCCTGGCTAATTTTTTGTATTTTTTAGTAGAGATGGGGTTTCACCGAGTTAGCCAGGATGGTCTCGATCTCCTGACCTCGTGATCCGCCCGTCTCAGCCTCCCAAAGTGCTGGGATTACAGGTGTGAGCCACTGCGCCCGGCCTGGAAGAGCCCATCTTATAGATGGAGAACTGGCCGGGAGAGGAGCTGCCAGCAGGGTGCGGTCACACCCAGGCGGGAAGCAGCCCCAGTCCAGGGACTCTAGCCCAGCCCTGGGGAGGGAGCTGGGGCCTGATGCTAGTGGTCCTTCAGTCAGGGTGGGGGCCAAGAGACAGATTCCAGGCCTCCTGCCCCGTCAAGGGGCATGGATCCCATCCAATTCCCATCATCCTGGGAGCCTGGAGTGGCAGTCCAGGGGGAGCAGGGGGTGCCAACCACCAGCTATTCGCCTACCACCTTCCACCCCAACTCCACTTCTGAGAAGTGGGGGTGCCTGGGTTCACTGCAGAGCCGGTCTTGGGTACAGAGCATAGCCCAGCAACCCTTCTCTCCCCAGGAGGGAGGCGTCCTGGGCCCATCTAGGTTCAAGCTCTGTCCCACCTTTGTGTCCTCCCTGGGACTCAGTTTACCCATCTGTACAAAGTGGGATCACAACCCCTGGCTTGATGGAGGCCTGGAGAGCCGGTCCCGGTGGCTCTTGCTAAGACTGAGTCCTGGACTGGGGGAGCCGCATCCCCACCCGGGTTTCGTGGCTTAGGGGCTGTACCCCCTTCCGGGTCCCATGGCTTAGAGGCCACACCCCCTCCGGGTCCCGTGGCTTAGGGGCTGCACGTAGTCCCACAAGCCCCCTCTGCACCCGCAGGTGGAAAACCCAGGGAACCAGGGGGAGGGCAGGCTGGGAGCTTACAGTCTTGGGGGGTGGACCCTCTGCACCCCCATTCCTCCTCTGGACCACAGGGTTTGTCTGGGCTGGAGATAGTGGAGGCTTCCGGGTGGGGGTAGGCGACGGCAGCGTGGCTGGCTGGACTGGAGCCTTCTTCTCAGACGGCTCCTCCTCAGAGTCCTCCGAGGCCCTCTTCACGCCTGCCATGCCCCCAACTGGCAGGAAACAAGCAGGGGTTGGGAGGGTCCCAGGCCTGGCTCTGAAAGGGTCTAGGTCCCTCCAGAGGTCCCAGTGCCCGGCACAGGCCTTGGTGCCCGGGGGAGACCTCGGGGCCCAGGGCTGGGGAGAGGTAGCCCTGAGGGCACATTTTTCTGGCACAGCCCCGAGTAGGTCCCCACTCCTTCCCTCCCCACTCAGAGCCCCAGCTGGGGTCAGGGAAAAGGGACTTTTCTGTTTCTCCAGCAGGCAAGGCAGGCCCTGTGCCCAGAATGGTTCCGGGGATTTCTAAACCCTAGAAGAGGAATGTGGGGGTGGGGGGTGGGGAGCTGAGCTCTGCACACACAAAGGCGGGGCCTGTCCCTCCCCTGCCCAGTTCTCTCTGGGGGCCCCACCCTGCCAGGCCAGCCTGGCTTCCATAGGGTCCAAACTCAGGACAGATGAAGGCAGGCCCAGGAGCTGCCCCTGGTCGGCCAAGCCACCCCAGTGGGCACAGAAGCTCAGGGGTTCAGATGGGCAAACAGGCCCAGCGAGGGGCAGGGCAGCAGGAGCTGCTGGTACACTTGCCCCTCGGGGAAGCAACAGGGGCAGCTCAGCCTGCTCTGGGCAGGTGCCTGCGTGCGTCAGGGCCTGGGGATCACCTGCAGCAGGATGAGGGCCCCTGTCCCTTTTGGTGAACACACAGCCTGGGGCTTTGCATGGGGCTGGGGTTGGGATGGGGGGCGCCCGGCAAGGCCTCTCGCTGCTTCACAGCCAGTGCACAGCCCCGGTGCCCATGCCAGGAGCCATTCTTGGGGGGGCTGGGCATGGACCCCAAAAGGTCCACAGGCCTGGGAGCCGGGCCAGGGGTGGGGGCCTGGTCCTGTCTGGCTCGGCAGGCGCAGCAGGGACTCACTGGGGGAGCGGCCGTGGAAGTAGTTGTAATACTGGGACACGTAGGTCAGGATACTCAGCCGGTCAGGCACCTTCAGGGCCACCATGTCCTCAGCGTCCAGCAAGGCCGGGATGCCCAGGTGCTCCTCGGCCACGCGGAACGCCTGCGGGAAGTGGGAGGGGGTCAGCAGGGCAGCTGGGAGCCCCCTCCTCCTCCTCCAGGCCCCAGCTCACCTCGACTCAAAGATACAGTCTTGGAGCCCAAAGAGGCATGGGTTCGAGGCTGGAGCCAGGCTCCGCGCATGTGGCCTCCCAGCCTCAGTTTACCCATCGGTGCGGTGGGGGTCACGGTCCCATCTGCACAGGACTGAGGTCGCCAGGCCTGTGGGCTCTCGAGGCCCTGCCCGGGTGAAATCTCAGGGGATCCTGCCCCTCACCAGGAGAATCCCGAGCCCCACCCAACCCAGATTTATCCGGTCTTGGTTGGAACAGCTCCCCCCAGGAACAGGGCTGACACCCACAGACCGCCGAGCCCTCCCCAGGGCCAGAAGGACACAAAAGCGGCCGTACCCAGGGCTCCCAGGTAACAGGTGGGGGCTGCTGGAGGTTGAGACAGGGACATGATCCCCCGTGCTGTCCAGCCCAGCAGCCAGTGGCCAGGACCATTCCTGCGAGTATGGGAAGTGTGGCCGGCACACCTGAGGAACTGGACTTGTTTATTTATTTATTGTTATTTATTATTATTTTTTTGGAGACAGAGTCTCACTCTGTCGTCCAGGCTGGAGCACAGCCTCACCTCACTGCAACCTCCACCTTCCAGGTTCAGGCGATTCTCCTGCCTCAGCCTCCTGAATAGCTGTGATTACAGGCACCTGCCACCACGCCCGGCTAACTTTTGTAATTTCAGTAGAGACGAGGTTTCACCGTGAACGTGTCATTTTAGTTCATTTTAATTAAGTTAAAGCTTAAATTCAAACTGTCCCTGTGCTGGCCGGGCAGGTCTGACTGTGTCTTCAGTGCTGACCGCTGGCTCTGCTGAAGGCCAGCTCCAGGGGCAGGGACGTGGCCGGGGCCTGCCTGGCACAGCACAGGACACGCCTACAGGGCGGATGGTGAGTCTGCTGGTGCCTCTGCCCACGAGGCAGCATGGAGCTTATTCTGCAGCAGGGAAACTGAGGCTGCACACAGGGAAGGGCCTGGAAGCTGAGGAGGGCAGGGCAGGACTGGAATCCTGGCAGGGCCGGGAGGCGGGTCCCATGCAGAGGGAGTGGCAGCTGGCCCACTAGAACCCATCCACAACCCCCCATAGCTATCCCCAGACCCTTGCTCTGCCTGGGCAGACTGGGCTGAGCCCCCTGCAGTGAAGTAGGGTCCCCAGCCACCTCCTGCCACCTTGCTCCCCAACTGAGAAAAAGTGGGGACAAGTATGCCCTGGACGCCAAGATAAGAAGCTATTTCTAGAACGCTAGGGTCACCCAGCCCAGGACACGCTGCAGGGCCGGCAGAGAGCCCCCGCTTCCCAGGCAGGACTCCCGAGGCAGATGCAGGGCCTGGGGGGGTGTCCCTCGGTCCCTCGGTCCCTCGGACGTGGGTGGGGCTTGGCGGGCCGGCTAAGCCCGCTGTGAGGCCAGGGCGGGGAAGGAGGAAGGGGCCGGTGCGGGGGCCACTCACCAGTTTATTGTTTTCATAAATGTTTTCCTTCTTGAGAGCATTGAAGTTTCTGGAAAATAAAAACATGGTGTCCAAAGCAGCTCAGAGTCCACGAAGGGAGGGGCTGGAGGGCCTCGGAGGCCATCTTGCCCACATAGGAAAACTGAGGCCAGGAACAGGGCTGTGAAGGAATGAGGTGGCACAGGAACACAGGTGGGCAGAGGCCAGGGCTCCTGGCCCTGCTCTGGCCACAGTGATGCTGCTGGGACCTGGTACGGCATCAGACGGCCCCAGCTTCACCTCCTGGGCCCTGGACACGCCGCCCCTCACCAGGGCTCCTGCACAGTCAGAGGTGGCAGGAAGCAGGCCCGGGAGGTGAGGTCACCAGCCCAGGGTGGTCCAGCACAGCTCAGCTCAGAGGGGGCTCCTCCCATCACAATGCTCGGTGACCAGGTGGGTCGCAGAGGCCCGATGTCCCCGGAGGACCACAGGGAACGGACGAGAGAGGCTCCCGGGGCAGGGGATGGTGCCACACGCAGAGAGGGCCAGCCACGCTGTCCCTGAGGGCAGGACAGGCCCCGGATCCACCTCGCCCCAGCTGTCATCACTTCTGTTGTCAGAAGGCTCACTGCTGTTCACCCTTCGGTGCCCTTCTCAGCACTTCACAAATACCAACCTAAGGCTCACACCCGATGTGTGGAGCAGACACCGGTTATGACCGCATCTCACAGAGACAGCGGCTCGGGGACCTGCCCCAGGTCACACAGCAGGGAGACAGCCGCCAAGGCCACGGAGGTTACATGGTTCTCTCTTTGGGTGATGAAGTGGCCTTCCTGGGTGCTCAGCAAGGGCCTAGCCTCACCCCCAACTCACACACTAGACCACAGGGATGCAAGCGTCCCAGGGAGTTCCCGAGGTGAGGTCCCCAGCCGGCCCGGACAGCAAGGCTCTCCTGGGGACACCAAGAGGACAGCCCCACATGGCCTCCAGCTGGTCCTGGGACTCCTCATGGGCACCTTGGGAGGGTGCTCTGGGCAGGAAACATACCGAGATCCCACACAGGAGGCCACAGCCCAGCCCCAGGCCCTCCGACAAAACCCGCCAAGTTCCCAGCACGGGCTGCGGCTTCCGGAAGGGAGGGCTGGTTAAATCGTGATCTGGAAGCCGGGTGCAATGGCTCACGCCTGTAGTCCCGGCTACGCAGGAGGCCAAGGCAGAAGGATCGCTTGAGCCCAGGAATTCGAGATCAGCCTGGATAACACAGTGAGACCCCGTCTTGGAAAAACAAAAATACAGTGATCATGACCTGTCTGTCCACATTGCTGCCTGTGGGGTCCTGGACAGCAGCTGCTGCCACGTCAGCGTGAACTGGACTGTTCTAGAAGCTTCCTGGCCCCACAGAGGGAGCTGGGGCTACAAGCTATGTCCTGCCTCACCCCGGCCTACATGTCTGACCCCAGCAAGCCTCAGTCTTAGGGCCTCAGTCTCCCTGTCTGAGAGGACAACCGCAGCTCCTGGTGGTGAATCTGATGGCCGTGGCTGCAGCAAACAGGAAGGCTGGGCAGGTCTCAAACGGAGAAGTGGGGACTGAGACCCCTGTGGCCACGCAGCCTGCACAGCCCTTGCCTGGCCCTGATCCCCATAAGAGCGCTCCGAGGCCTGGACAGTGAGCCCATTTTACCCATTTCACAGATGGGGAAACTGAGGTCAGGCAGCTGCCATGCGGTGGGGTGGGGGGAGCGGGATGGGGGCTGCACATTGCCCACCTCCCTCCTTAGGAAACCCCTGTCCCGTCCACCTCCAGCCCTGCCGTCCATCAGTCCTCTGCTGGGCTCCCTGAGAACCCTCCACCGTTTCCAGCTTGGACCACCTCCCAGGTAACAGGTTTCAGATGGCAGGACCACCCGTCTGCACAGGCAGAGCTTCTGCACACAGGACAAGAGGGGGCACGGACTCCTCCCCGGCTGGACGGATGACGAGGAGCCCCCTCCCTGGGCTCAGTGGCAGGGAAAGGGGTTTCCGTCTCCTTGGGCCTGGGCCGATGCCTCTGTCTGCCTGGGCTTGTCCCCAGATAGGGTGTGACTCAAGGGCACGTGGGTGGCTGTCTATGCTCAGGGACTCTGCAGCCATGCTGGGCCTCAGCCTCAGCCCCCAGAGCTTAGGAGCTGGCTCTCCCTCCCTCTCTTCCCGTCCCCAGCCCTTTGAAAGCTCAAGCTCTGCTGCAGACCTTCCCCAGCATCGCCAACCAAAGCGGCCGTGTCCCCGGAAAGAATGCCCCGATGACCAGAAGGGCCGTGTCATCGGCGGCCAGCAGGGCAGTGTCACAAGTTCTGTTTTTTCTCTAAACAAGCAGGAGGAGGAGGAGGCCGTCTACCTCCCACATTTGCTTCTGTCCACCCCAGGGGCCGGCAGCGGCTCTGTCCAGTGGGTTTCCTAGTAGGGCCTTCTCTCCCTCAGACCCATAGTCAAGCTCTCAGAGCTCCAGGCAGATCAGGGCACCCCAGGCCCTCTGGACACATCAGGGCCAGTGCCCACACAGTGCACAGGTCTGGGCTACTAGTTCAAGTACCACGGCCTCAGGACGAGGTTCAAGCTGCATCCCGGGCGTTTGAGGCCTCTTCAACTGGGCTGCACCACCCTGGCCAGTCCCGCAGCCACCACCTGTCCTGCCCCAAGCTCTTTCCCCAGGGCCAGCCCTCCAGCCTCCAGACCATGGCTCCACGCTCCTGGCACAGAACGGCTTTTCCCGCACTCTGCCCGATGCACCGGCCAGGCCCTCCCTAGAAGCACCTTGCCTCGCCGAGCTCACACCCCCGGGATCCCTGAGCAGCTGAGCTCAGAGGCCCGATGCTGGCAGAAATCGCAACCAGAACCGCCTGGCAAGCCCACCGAGATATCGCCAGGTGCAGACCCCACTCGTGTCTCCAGGAGCCCGCCCGAGAAAATGACGCCCTGGAGCCCTAACCTCCAACTCCCCCCACGTGACCTCATTTGGAGACAGGGTCTTTCTGGAGGTGAAAGAATTCATTTTGTCTCCTTTGGAGATCAGAGAATTCAAACAGCGTTCTTAGCGGGGAGCCCTGGCCCCGTGACTGGTGTCCTCATAAAAGTGAAAGGTGGATGCAGACACACACTGACAGGGAAGAGGAGGTGAAGGCACAGGGCGAAGACAGCCACCCCACAGCCAAGGAGAGAGGCCAGGCACGTCCTCCCTCCCACCCCCAGGAGGGCCCAGCCCTGCCCACACCTCCATCTGGGACATTGGCCTGCAGAACTGCGGGAGGACACTTTCTGTTGTTGAAGCCGCCCGTTTGGGGGACCTCATGAGGGCAGCTTGAGCAGGCGGACACCCCTGGCCTTGCCGGACAAAAATGCATCAGCTTCCCCCCACTCCGCAGGTGACTAGCTGCCCATGGTGAGACGGCCGGAACTGGGACACAGCCCCAGCCACCGCTGCAAACCTGCAGGTTGATGGCCCGAGACATGGCACCCTCTGGGGTTTAATCTCTTATTTGAAGCCTCAGAATTAAAATCAGGTATGCCATGGCCCGGCTCCAAGACACGCACCTCGGGGCCAGGCACACAGTCGGTGCCCTATAAATGCTTGTGATGCATTTGTTCTGTGCTTGGTGAGATTTCTGTGGCAGTCACTTATTCTTTCAACACTGGCTGAATGAATGAATTTGCCGAGTCTGTGTGTCGGTCACAAGATTCGCCCTAGGCAACTCTCCGCCGTGCGTGCCCCTGCCCGGCCACGCCTGCCCCCACCACCCCTCTAACTGACCCACAGACATCAACTTCAGCCCGTGCAGTCCAGCCGGCCTCTGCCCCGGCGCCTCTGGGGGCTCTTGGGAATGTATACCCCCCTCCAAATTCCTGGGTGGCCGACATCACACTGTTTATTTCCTGGAACAAGATTCGGCCATGGAGTGGGGAGGGCGGGTCGGGGGGGTGCACGACTTGGAAGGGAAGGAGCCCCAGCCGAGGCACATCCAGCATCGAGAAGGGAGCAGAGGGAGTGGGGAGAGGCAGGCGTACGGACAGCAAGAGCTGGAGACAGAGACGAAGACCCCAGCGAGATGGTGGAGGGAGGCCCAAGAGAGACAGGGACCAGACGGCACAGTCAGGACAGCAGAGAGGTGACTTGGGCAAGGAGCAAACCTCAGAGACAGTGAGGACATGGCCAGGCAGAGCTCAGGAGAGGAGGGAATGAGCAGGGGACGGTGACAACTGGGGCGGGGGAGGCCGCAGAGCCCCCACCTTGCACACCGGGCCTCTGGAAGGAAAGTGTGGGGCCCTGGGCAGTCCCCCTGCAGTAAGCGGACAGGCAGCCCCCTCCGGCGCCTGTCCTGGAGGGTTCCGGCCAGAGGCGGCCGCAGAGGTCTGGCTACAGGCCCTGGGGCAGGAACAGAAGGCCTCTGTCCACAAGCAGCTTCCTGCTGACCCAGCCCCGCGTGGGAGGGGAGGTCAGCCCACCCTCAGCTCCAGCCCAGGAAGCGAGGGCACTGCCTGGGAGCTTCTGAGTGGGGGCCTCTGCGTGAGTCTCTCCCCTAGCCCCCAACAATAGTGGTGTCTCGGGGAGCCCCACCACCCTCGGGAGTCACTGCCGGAGGGCTCCATGCACCGCACAGTGGCCGCCCTAGCCACCCCTACTTCCTGGCCCAGCCCTGAGCTGGCCTCCAGAGCTGCAGGGACCAGGAGAGAGTTCAAGGGACCCTGCCCTGGAACTGAGGGTGCAGCAGAGACCCAACTTCACAACACCCAGACCTGGCCACAGATCCGATAAATGCCCCCAGCCACGACCCCCAAGAAGGAGGCCAGCAACGTTCTCCTACCCGCTGGACGGCTTCCTGTGCCACGCACGCCTGCCCTCTCTCCAGCTCCACTCCCTCCCAGCCCAGACACGCTGTACCCACTGCCCCATCTGCTCGAGGGCTGTGCCTGGAGACCTGCTTGGGCCCAGGAGTGAAAGCAGCCAGCCCATGGCTGAGCCACTCCA